AAAAAAGTAAAGGTTTGTCATTGTTTTAATTTAAACATTATTCGTTCTATACGATTTACGAAGTTATGCCTTTGATTGGTTTTAAGAGTGTTGCTATTCCTGCCGCCGGGCCCTGGGCCAGGCTTGTCTGGTTCTTGTTGGTTAGAAAATAAGAACATAAGAACGAAGGAACACTGCAGAAGGCCTACTGGCCCATGCGAGGCAGGTCCAAGTCTCCTACCGGCTTAAGCCAATGCACCCAACCTAGTCAGGTCAGGTCACATTGACTTAAGGGAGGAACACGGCAACCGACCTGTTAGCACAAGCTATCAGGTCTAACTCACACCCACCCAGGCAGACTGTTGCTGTTGATACGTTAATATCTGTTGGTAAAAAAAAAAATCTTTTATACTTTTGGAAGTTAATAAACTAAAGCATTATCTTCAGATTTTGTCACTTACAGAAGCACTCTCGACCTTAAACGACCTAACTAGCCAACCACCGACACCAAACAAGCATGGCAAGACCAGCGGCTGACCTGGCTGGAGGTGATCGCGTCACTGAGTGTCAGGTGTGTGTTGTGTGTGCACGTCAGGAACACCTGGATATATTATATATATGAAGTGTTCTCCAGCATCACGTCTGTTGACCGTGAGATCGTTACATTTGTGGCCAGCCGGACACTTCTCCGAGACGTCAAGGGACGTTGGTTCAACTTTAACGTTCGTCATGTAAGGTGAGCTTTGAAAATACGTTTGTCATTTTGGAGAGCCCCCCCCCCCCCTTCATGGGGAGGAGGGGGCGGGGGGTTTGATACTGTTGATATCCCCCTTAATTCAAGGGACGAAGCAGTGCATTGACATTAGTGAGGACCTCTTGATCCAAGAAATCAGAGCTACCCTTTATTTAGATGTCTGATTACCTCCCATTTCCCAGGTTGTGTATGACCCTTACCGTTTTACCGCTTCGCAATGACTAAGATAATTTATATAGAAGATTATGTTCGTATTATCCTGTATATCATATTTTCTTTTAATTTAAATTTTCAGTGTGTATACAATGCATTAATGAATGTTGCGTGCGAAGGTCGTAAGTATAGTATCATTACTGATTAAAAAATATCAAGTCTTGTGTTTACCATCGTAGCCCATTAAAACCCCATTTTCTCTTACGAATCATCAGTGGTGGGTTGGGGAATGGAAGGGGTGAGGTGGGAGGGAAGGTGTGTGACAGTAATGTCCACCTTCACTGTCAAATCTGTCAATAAATGTACGTGTCTGCGCTCTCTGCTGCTCTTCCTCTTGTTTATCAATGTGCTATCGTGTTCTCCGGGGTATCGTACGCTACCTTCTCTTGCTTTGTCGTGATTTCAGGACTGGTTTGGTTGTCCTGGGTCCCAGGACAACCAGTTCTCTACCTTCCCCCCCCCCTCCCTTTTTACAAACTGTAAGACTTAGTTAACTGCAGAAGTCTTGTGGGCCACTGAAGGTCGCCTGTATCTGTACACGTACATTAATCACAATTGTTTAACTAAGATGTTCTGATTGGTTACTTATGGAGTTTAAAGCTTACCTACCTCACGAGGGTCTTAATTAAGGCTGCATGAAACCCTTTCTACACCAAACGAGAATACTTTAATCCCTAAAACTAAATTAAATAGTGATATATATATATATATTATATATATATATATATATATATATATATATATATATATATATATATATATATATATATAAAATATATATATATATATATATATATATATATATATATATATATATTATATATTATAAAATACACAATTATGTTTCTGTAATTATTATATCAATATCTGTGGTACCAGATTGTTCAACATCTTAACAGATGATATACACTGCTGGGACAAGTATATGCCTGATCAGCCACGCTGTGATAGATGTGGGTCAGCGGGCCGCCAGCAGCAACAGTCGGGTTAACCTGGTACAAGCTCTGGCCCAGTGTCGGGCTGCGGAAGTACACATTTTCGAAACTCGTCAAAGGTATATGAAAGGTTAAGGTAGGTACAGTATTACCGTAAGATTATTAAGCTCTCATTTGACGTGTTAAGTATACAGGAGTTAGTGTACTGATGGGCTGCGACCTTCTTGTACCTCGTGCACAAAATACACTTGAACCTCACACATACGTGATTGTCAGACCACAACTCGGGTTACCTTAATATGTTCCGGTCTAGCTTAATCAATGCTAATTAAATGGGATAATTTTCCACACTTAGCAGGAAGTGAATCACATCATCGTATGATATAGTTCCCGCCGGGGGTTGGGAGGGGAGTCATCTTAAGGAGGTGGTGGAGTTTGGCTAGAGGTAGGGAGCCTGTTCTCTGGGAGAAGCGTTGTTTCATTTCCCAGGGTTCTTGCCTCGTTGAGAGTCCAGCAACTCTTTCGACATAAATGATGGGGATATTTCCTCTATCCTTTAAATTTGCTGAAACTTAGGGGAGATAACATTGAAGGTTTTACAAACGTAAATATTTGTAATATTTAAGTTATATTTACATGTCAGTATTTTGGAATGGTTTTGCTTGCTTTGGTACTGATAGTGTCTGTTATGTTAGAAAGTCAGTGTTCCAAGCGGTGAAATACGATTAAAAATGGACACGAGGTACTTTGAGAATTTAAGGGCCAGCTCAGTTATTGACTTAAGAACACAGTGAGGTGTGTCGGTGTAAAGTTACTCTTCTTACCAGAGATCTTAAACTCTGAAATCAAAAAGGAACAGGAAGCAGAAATGTTATTACTGGATATAAGAACAGTGCTGAGAGGAACTACAGTAGTCAAGGTTATACTCTTTCACAAGAATACAAGAACGGGAGTTAAAGAACTCTACAGTAGGCCTGTTGGCCTAAGACCTCCAGTTCACACCTTCCCCCCCCCCCCCCCCACAGTCTAACCTGTATAAAAGCAACATGTGTTCTGAGCATTGCAGCAGGTTCCTCACATATGGTTTGCAACAACTTTCCAAGTTAGGTTAGAATGTCCTCTAACCATAAAAAACGACAAATTATAACTCCACAACGGAAAAGCTATAAATATAAGCCGTGATAACAAGTCTGCGACGCGAACGGAAAACGGGTAGCCACTGCGCGCTGCCGGAGCTCGTCAGATAATTCAACTGTTCAAAGGCGCCTTCAATAGTTACTCGTTCGACTGTTTTATAAGTGACATTGTTTGTGGTTAAGAAGAGCTACATAAAGTTACCCAAAGTTTTCGCCTCACTTACGCTACCCAGGAGTTTGTTCCATTCATCTGCAACTCGTGGTCCCACCTCACCATGGCCCCACCTCGGCCTTCCTGTGGTCCCACCTCCCTAAATTCCACCTCTTAACCTCGAGAATAAGTAACTCGACTCACCACTGACCTCCCAGGGGCATTAATTGACCCCTCTTAGAGCAGGTCGCCAATCTTACTGACCTTCTCCTTGACCTTCCTAATGACCTGCTTCCCCTTAGGTTCTCTCGTGACGTCATGTGGTTTGGAATGGGAGAGAGGAGAGTGAGAATATGGGAGAAGGGTAAAGAACTTTAAATAGGGATAGAGGAAAGTGATAATAGAATAAGATCAAGGCAACAGGGAAGGCGTTTGGTCTTCACGGCCAAGTCTTTTGTGATCCTAACTGACAAATGGTCATACAGATAAGTAAGATACATGTTCAACAGTTAAGTATCTTTATTCCTAAACTTTTGGCCTACACAGTAGGCTTCATCAGTCGAGCACAGAAGAGTTTGCAAAAGCAGTAGAGATGTGAAGACGATGTAATTAGTCTACCTGGAGGTACGTAGAGGATATTCCGGGGATCAACGCCCCCACGGCCCGGTCTATGACCAAGCCTCCTGGCTTTAGGTATCTGTCCAGCTCCCTCTTGAAGACAACCAGGGGTCTATTGGTAATTCCCCATATGGCTGGTGGGAAGCTGTTGAACAGTCTTGGGCCCTGGACACTTAATGTTTTCTCTCTTAGTATACCAGTGGTGCCCCTACTTTTCACTGGGGGTTTGTTGCACTGTCTGCATCTTTACTACTACTGCTTGGCTTAGCGTTTTTTTTTATTATAATAATACTGCTAACTCTTCTGTACTCGACTGACCCCCTCAAGGGAAGTTTCTAGACGCTGGTGAGGGGCGCTTGATCTGGGGAATTGGATCTATGCTCCAGTTTCCTGAATTAAGCCTGAATACCTTCCACCCCCCCCCCCCCCACAGACGCTGTATAATCCTACTGATTTAGCGCTTCCCCATGATTATAATGATAATTTACTCGATTGAAGAAGCCTACTGTGTAGGCGAAAGGTTTCGGAATAAAGATACCTAACAGTTGCACAAGTGTCTTATCAACAGGTCGGTATTGTATTTCATCTCATATTCACTAGTCACAGAGAGATGATCACGACGACTTACAGACAAAGATGTTTGGGTATACATGGACACGTGGATAAGATTTACTAGTTTTTGTTGGAAAAGTAGCACCTCATAACCATCCTGTAGACGGTAGACAAGAACATTGATACATAAAGGCCTAGTGACTCGGGGGCCCCAAAAAGGGTTAAGGGAAGAGTCCGGGAAGAAAATCAGTCAGAATTTTTGCTAGTGAAAAAAGTCGCATTTTATTTAAATACCATAAACAATTAAAGTAATAAAACGAAGATATTTTCAATCGGTTATTAACTGATAATACATGACAACACAGTTTGTATATGATGGCCCCTCAAGGGTGGGTCCTTGACGCTGGTGAGGGGCTCTCGATCTAGGGAATTGGATCTGAGCTCCAGTTCCCTGAATTGAGCCTGAATACCTTCCATTCCCCCTTCCCCACAATCGCTGTATAATCCTACGGGTTTAGTGCTCCCTCATCATTATAATATACATGATGTCATTACACATACGTAAAAAATATCAACTTTTATTCAGTTTCTTAAGCAAAGTAAGACCTGGTCACAGACCGGGCCGCGGGGGCGTTGACCCCCGGAACTCTCTCCAGGTAATGAAACAACATTTAAGTCAGTCATTTACTGACAACACATAACATGTAGAGATTGAAAACGTTACATGTATATTCCGTGTTAGGTTTGTAATTTTTTTTTTTGTTACTACTTTCTAGTGGATTTTTCTCCTGGATCCAACGGGAGGATATTTGGATTTTTATTTTCGTGGATAAATGCAGAGGGATACACAAAAATCGGTTATAATTAGAGAAGACGACCACCAGGATATGTGAGAAATCTTGACATAACCAACGTTAAAGATTCCAAATGGGATGTTGACAAGATGCCTGATCACCCAGGTTGTGATGGATGGGAGTGTCTTGTAGTCAGTAAGTGAGCCTTTAGTATGCGTCGGAAAGAACCCGAGTTCGATTCCTTGCACCGGATGCCTCTATTCACCAGCGGCAAGCTGATACTCGGGTTTAAGTCGGCTGCTGTGTGTCGCATCCTGGGTTAGTTTACTGGTGATTAACGACGCTGTGGCTCTGTAAAAATTATTGGTTATAAATATTTTGGGGTAACCAAAAAACTAAATATAACCCAAAGGGCAAAAAACCCCCCGGGCAACCCCCTCGTCGCCCCCCTCCCCTCATGTCACGCTGGTCAGGTTTAAAGTGTCCTTTCCCCACGAAAAAAGGGAAAGGCATGGCAGCCCCTAGTGAGAGGCATAGCAGTCCTGGGGGGCATAGCACCCCTGAGGAGGCATGAGCACCCCCG